GTATATAGGGCACGTCTTATCGCTCGCTCGCGCGGACGTACGTGTCTCATTCAATGGGTGCCGCCGGCAGCCGCTCGATTGGGGGACCCTAGCCGCCTGACGAATCAATCCCACGTCCCTGCTTCCTCCCTCGCCGCCTCCAGCAATGCCGCGGGGCGGCGGTGGGGCTCCTCTCCCATTCACTCGTTCTCAGGCGTCTGGCACTAGACGGCCAGATTGAGTGGAGGCGTTGGGATAGCGTGGGGTACGATAGTGCAACAGTGGATGCCTGTGGCGGCACTTCTTTGTGTGCTGGTGGTGCATTGTAGACTTGGGTGTGTGCTAACGGTGCGGTGGTTTGTGTGGCGTGTACCGTCTAGTGGCGGTGTGCGTTGCCGGATTTCAGTCGGGTCCTCATGGATCCGGCGCCTGCACAACGGAGGCCGGCACGGGGTGGTGACAGTGGCCCAACTGGGTTGCTACTCTGGTCGTGGTCCCCTACAGCTTGGCAATGGCCTCCTGCAGCGTGTTGCGGCCAGCGGATATGCGGTGGTTCAGGATGGCCGGGCCGGTTCAGATGCAGCGACGATCAGATTTATTCTAGTGTCGGCTCGTCTGCAAGTGCCTCGCGTCAGCTCCACTCCATTCCCATGCCGCTCTTGTGTGAGATGCGTCACAGGGCTGGATCTTTCCCAGTTGATGTCCACCGTTGAGGGATTGCTCCATCGTGAGGAGGGCTATGGAGTCATTATTGCCTCCCGCCAGAAGCGTGTCCTTTGCCCATGTGGGTCAAGGCAGGGCGATGAAGGCCACTTCTGGCCGGCCGGGGGGGAGGGCTAAGATCTGGGGGGAGGAGGGCATCCAAGGGTGGGGAAGGAGATGCCTTCCCTCCCGTCTCCTTGGTCGTCGTCATTGCAAGCGTGAGGCAGGGATGGACTGAGGGCCATGGATGTGGAGGCGACGACCTTAGTAGTGGGAGTCATGGTGATCGTCCGTGGAGCTTGTGTGGCTCGGGTGTTGGCTGGTTGCCATGGCTGTGCGGGTGAAGTGGTGGCCATTTTTACGGCGGTTGGTGACGGTAGTGTGGTCGGTGTTTTGGGGGTTTTCTCAGTCCATAAAGAGTTCTACTATACCATTATGTTCATAGTATTTGATTTTCAATTTCTCAATGAGTTAATTCCACTTTTCCCCCAAATTTGTCACTTGCGACAGGGATAACCCTTTTTTTTCTTGAGAAACACTTACGTAGAGCTCACGTACTTCCGAGCCGACAGATGACTTTATTTGCCAAAGACGTCTACTCCCTCTATTCGTGTATATAGGGTCGTATGCATTTTCTGATGCCAACTTCAATCAAATATTAGAGCAATAATATAACGTGCAACTTACATGACCATACCATTAACAAATTAATGCTTGAAAGGAGCTTTCGATGATATAATTTTTACATTATACATCTGATATACTATTAATCTTATCAATAGTCAAAGACAGTCTCAAAAAAGGCATTAGGCCCTATACAGATGCATGGAGGGAATAGTAACCCGCTGAAAGAATAGAAGCATGGAATAAATTCAGAAAATGTGACAACCCATGTCAAGTCTAGGACTTGAATTTTGTTCCATGGGTTTCACCGTGTTAGAATAAATCTGAGGCATTAGTTGATCTACTGAGAAGCAAGCAATCACACGAAGCACGACACCGAGATTTATTAACAGGGTTCACCAAACTTGACTACATCCCGGGGTCTGACTATGGGTGCTCCCCCCATGACACCGCTAAATACCGCACCCCGGCTACCCGGGCGTCGACACACGCTGCCGGCTTCCTCTTCGTGCATGTACTATTATGTTGGCATAAGTTACATTGTGTGTCTACCCACAATATTATATAAGAGGTCTAGGGTACAAGAGTCCTACTAGGACACTATACCATACCATGTCTACACATAGTACGACTCTATGTTCAACTATAACATACCTTGTATAAATATTAGACAGAATGTTAACAAAACTCCGCCTTGGCGAATACTATTCATCATCTTGGCTTCCTCCATGCGTCAAGCATCCATGTACATTTGACTTGAGATTATATCATGAGCATCGTTGCTACTCCCAGACTCCACGTGACTCCACCTGCAATTGTAGTCCCTCCTTATCTTCTTCGCAGTCAACTCTCGAGCAAAATCAAGTTACTCTTTACTCTAGTTTGCGCTCCCAACTTTCGGCGTATTCGTTCAACACGATCACAACCAATCATTGTCTGCGTGAAAGTGAACAACTCACATTTTGAATGCCACATGTAAGAGTTAGATGAACTCAACCTTCTCGCTCTCAAGGGACATGGGACTTGTGTCTGTCTGTGCACCACAATGGAGGTGCATCTTGACGGCTGCACAAACAGAGCTCCTTCTAAGCAGATTCAAATTCGTACCAAGGGCAGGCAGATTCTATATACACAGTATTTTCGATCTTGTAGTAGTAGGTGAAGCGGGCTGTGTACATTAATTGTTGTTGAGTGACATCATTGTAATGGCGGACTGAGATCCAGTGACTTGCTGTGGACAAGTCACCGGTGAACAGTACGGTGCCTGGCCCCTCTCTTCAAACTGTTGGATCAAAGATCGACGGATGGATCTTCATGAACAGTACCTGAGCTACAGTGGCACGTCTACAGGAACTTGTGAACAGTCCTCGAGCTACAGTGATTCGCATACAGTATCGTCTATAGTGATTTTGCTTCAATGTTCGCTCCTGGGCTGCATATCCTCCATCCAACGGCTGGCCTCCCGTCAGTTACGGCGTGACTGGCCAGAGGCCAGTCACTGGATCTCGGTCCTGTAATGGCATCTAGTGTTTTCCTTTCATGTGCAGTGCAGAAATAAATGATAGACAATGCATTTCCTCCCCCCAAACGCTTTATGTTGTCGACGTTTCTAGCCCAGACTTGTCAAAATTTTGGCCTTCTTTGAAAGAACACCAAAAATTTAAGGGTCTCTTGGCTACAAAATTGTGGTGTTCATTATAGCTGTGGTCAACCCCGGCGTGCTCCTACTCCACGACCACATGGTCAACCCTGCGATGCGGCGGTCCATGCGGTTCCCCGCGTACCCACCGCCATGCGCAGTGCCGGGCTGCACAAGCTGTAAAGACATCGAGCGTAACCAGTACCTCGTCTATGATCCTACCGTGTCGCCGCACTACGAGGTGGCCTTGATCCCTCATATTCCCCGCAAGCTTTTCATAGGGCACATCGCAAAACATGCATGCAGTCATGGACCCGACGTCTTGGCAATGGAATGGCCACCGTCGCCTTTCATGATCGACGTCTTCTCGTCAAAAACTGGATGCTGGAAGGAAAAGCCATACACGCGAGAAGGAGAAGCCGCGGGAACCGTTGCTGACCTGAAAACTAAACATGACGCCTTTCTTTACCACTCTGCATATTACCAACCAGGAATAAAGATGGAGCTCCAACCGAAACTAAAAGTGGAGCTTCAGAAAGCGACAAAAAATTTCAAAAAATTAGGGTTCTCGAAGCAGCTCGCATGTCCACTCCACCGCCCTCGCCCGGAGGTTAACGACGCCGGCCGTGCCATGGCTCGTGAGGAGCAGCGCGGTGCCGTGGTGCCAACGAGTGCCTAGCTAGCATCTTCTCTGTACATGCATTCATGCACGTGAAGGCCGGCCTATCTTGTATGAACACGTGTATATATTGTTAGAATAAATCTGAGACGCTCAGTCGATCTATCGAGGACCAATCAATCACACAAGCACGACACCGAAATTTGTTAACGAGGTTCACCATCATGGCTATATCCCGGGGCCTGACTACGGGCACTTCTCCCCATGACACCACTACAATACCGCACCCCGGCCGCCGGCACACGCCTGAATCATGTTAAAGATTGGGTGCTAAGGAATGAAATCAACCTTCAATTTGCCGTCAAAAAATATTCTTGGAATCATGTTCTTCGCGAACCATGGTCCTTACATGATCCAATGAGTATGTCGAAGAATATAGTCAACATTATGCGCCTAGATGACGAGAATGGCACTCTAGTGAAGGATGTATATAGTTGGGACTCAGATGATGAAAATGCTATTGACACCACAGGCTGGCCTAGAGCACACGAACGCGACCCTCATCTTTTCCACTGTTTTGGATTTCATCCTTATAAGGAAATTGCCTTGTTTTATGATGACCACAGTATAATAACAGCCTACCTTTTGAAAAGCTCAATGGTCCGTTATTTGGGAAAGGTGGAAAGCTTCTACAATGACATCAGAGAGTGGTTTCCATATGCCGCATGTTGGGTGAGGGATCTACCTGGGAGCTGACATATGTGCAATTTGGATTGCAACTGATCCGGCCCAGTTCTGCTATACTTGTATCCTTCATCTCTCACGGATAATCTAAGTGACCATGTCCCACGTACATCAAAAAGATATTGTATGCATTAGGTTTCACTAGGACAACCTTTGACTAGCAATTACTCTGTTATTATGTTTTTGAGATATTAATTCATTGTACTGGACAAATCAGTTCGGACGGATGCGGGCAATTTGAGGGCCTGCTTTGGAACTGCTCTAAAAACACATACTAAACAGTTGTGACAGTTTCACCAACATGAAACTAAAATGCACATCAAACATATGAATACAGCTAACCTCTTCCCTTTAAAAAGGTTGCTAGTGTGTAGGCATCTTTCAATCACTAACCATAGAATCGGTTCTGTCATTTTTTCTCTGCACCGTTGATGCTCAACCACAAGAGTTACTGGAAAAGAAGAACCTACTTGAAAAACAGACAACCAGGAAGAAGAAGAAGAAGAATAGAATGAATGGTTATCCCAAAAAGGCTAACGTTTCTGTACAAAACAATTTTCATGGATTGTTTACCAAAATATTACTAAATATAATATAATTGATAGAATATAGAATGGTACAACTCTTTATGGACTAAGAAATTCCAATGGTTGGCGACTAGTATAAGAAAGTTTTGTATAACTTTAGACTGACTTAATCATACATGGCGCTTATTAGAGGAGTAAGTACGGATTCAGTGCTTGGGATGGCAGTCTGAATCGGAATCGCAGCAGGGGAAACGACGACGGCGAGACGGCACCGAAGGAGGAGGCGGTCGTCGTGCATGGCCGAGAACGAACTCAACGGCTCCAGCTCGTATTTAATTAAGTGTTGATGGTTGGCATGGTAGAACGTGTGCGTCATCTTGTCGGACTGGAAATTCATCATCCCCTCAAGCTCAAAGCTGAACTCCGCCGTTGTGGGCCTGTCGTCCGCCTTATTTGAACGTCCGAGGAACAGGGAGGCAAATCCGCAGGCGTCGTTGGGGCAGACTTTGAGGTACCATGTGCACCCCCCTATGGTGAAACGTGGGGAGCAGGCACATTCTTCGTCGCGGAGCGTGGCCTTAAGCTTGGAGAAGTTGCTGATGATGAGCGTGTGGGACCCAGACATGGTGTCCAACGCCGCGAGCTCCTTGGATTCGGACAAGTTTTGCTTTGCTGCCTGCTTCATAGTTATGGTGGACCTGACGGTGAAGCTGCCGTTGCGGACACACGACGACGCCTCCAGCTCCCTCCTTGACACGCAGAACATAAAGATGTCCGCGTTGCTCATCCACCAGGGCATGAAGTTCCCATCTTGGAAGACCGTGTGCTCGCCGGTCTCGTCAAGGATTTCTATTTCTATGGAGATTTCTGTGTGGAGGCCCGAGTCTATGAGACTGCCGCGGTAGAGTTCGTCGATTTCGATCGAGACAATGAACCTGTCCGCTAGGCCGAGCTCGTCGAGACCATCCCAGTCCGGGTACACCTTGACATTCCAGGGGAGACCACGGAAGACGATGGTGTCGAAAGTCTGCGGGCGAAGCAGCATGGAGTAGCCGTGGATCCGAGTTGTCGTCACGACGGGCGGCGTCGAGCGGCTGGCGGTGGCGCCCATTGATGCGAAAGTCCAAGCCTCTCCGCGCGAGCTCAGACCTGCCCTAGCTATGTCCCCGCACTGGCCTGGCCGGTGTATATATATCAAGTCTCCAGCCCTCTCTTCTTTCTTGTCCTCTAACTAATCAACTCCAACTCGCCTGCCGTGTGTCCGCGGGCCGGCCGACCGCTGTATGTGTCCTACTCATAATCCTCTCTTCTTTCTTGACCTCTATCGTTTGAAAGTTGGGAGTCCTACTCATAATAGATTCATGTGTAAGATAAGAATCGCGCCCTTGTGCACCCCGCATCGGTTGAGCTAAGCCAAAAAAGATGGGAATGGATAAACCAACCCACGAGAGAACCCATCGTTTCAGGCTCAGGATTGATATCTTATTTAGTGGCAAGACACGTAACTAGAGAGGACTCTCGCACGGACTACATATTTATACGCCGGCCGGCGCACGGACGTACGTGTCGCGGTCAATGGGTGCCGCCGGCAGCCGCTCGACGCACAACTCGCATCTACGACTACTCCAGATTGCTTCGCCCGCGGGTTTTCAGCATCATCTTCTTCAGCGATCTCCCCCGGAAACTCATGGTGTCCCCGGCTGGTACCGATGAGAAGGGCTTACCCAACTACTTGGATGTCTCCGTCGAAATCGACAGCCGGTTCCGGGACCAGCTCCTAGGCACGGCCTGCCGCACCGACGTCTCCATAGGAATAGAGATCCTTGACGAGACCGGCGAGCACACCGTTTTCCATAAAGAGACCCGTCCAGGGTTCACGATGACCGGAAGCTCGACGCTGCTCGTGAGTAGGAGGGAGCTGGAGGCGTCGTCGTGCGTCCGCAACGACAGCTTCACCGTCAGGTGCACTATGACTACGAAGCAGCATCGAGAATTGTCCAGATCCAAGGAGCTCGCGGCATTGGACGCCATGGCCGGGTCCCACACCCTTGCCATCCCCAGCGTCTACAAGCTCAACGCGGGGCTCCGGGACGGGGAGTGCGCCTACTCCACATGCTTCGCTGTTGGGGGGTGCACATGGTATCTCAAATTTCACCCATACTACTCCGGATTTGCCTTGCACCTCGTCCGCGCGAGTAAGTATACGGATGAGATGCCGGCGACAGCGGAGTTCTGTTATGAACTCGAGGGGTTGGTAAACTTTGAGTCCCAGAAGAGGACACACACGTTTCACTATGACAATAAACACTTATTTTGGTACCCGCTGGAGCTACCGAGCATGCCGGTCATGCACGACGACTACCTACTTGTTCGGTGCCGCCTCACCGTTATGCCCCCTGCGGCGATGCCAATTCCAGCAGTCATCTCGCGCACTGAATCTGTATTAACTCCTCTACTCAGCGCCGTGTATATGTGATTGAGAGATGACATTTATTTGGATTAGCAAAATTTTCTTATACTTGTCATAAATAGTGCAATTTCTTGGTCAATAGAGAGTTGTACCATTATATCCGTTCCAGTATTTGTTTTCATTTAATCAACCCTTTATTTTGAATTAGCGGGTCATTTTCCGCATTTTAGATATGTATTTTTGTAATATCTCTACCTTTCTCTGATTGTGTATGTCGCATGACCTTCCATGTATGCCAAACATTTATCGATGTATATTAATGTCTAAAGTTGCCAAAATATTCTATCTCCTAACAATCAATGAAGCCTATGGCTGCCCGGATGTTTGAATGTTGTTAATGATAACGGTGATTAATTTTCCTTAATAATGTAGGACCCGTTGAGGTTCATCAATCATCATGCTATTGATCTAGGTCTGCATATAACTTCACTGATTTTAGTAAAGGGCCCTTTAGATGCACACGGTTGAAAATTAATGCCTAATACATAGAACAATTAAAGCGGCTAAGCTAGGCTTCACTTGATGCGTTTGAAGTGTTTTGCGTGAGATACTTCCCTGATTGACGTGTGTGTTTTTTAAAATTAGTTAGCAAATAAAGTCTCAATTTTTGGCTAAAAATAAATAAATCTCAATACACCATCTACATGTGATATAACATACTCAAGTATAAAATAACTATTGAATTGATACAAGATGGTGAAGTGTGCCGAGGAGAGGGGGAGGGGGGGCAAATGCCCCCTGTAGTGATGGATGTCACCGCCAACTCCCCCCCCCCCTTTTCCTTGTCGAGATTATGAACAACTTTTATGTAAAGCGCTTCGTACCTGTTTGCCCGGTCTGTTTGCAGGTTGAGCTCGCGGAGGGCGTCGTCCAACCGATCGAGCGTAGCTGTGATGTTCTCGTGAATCCGCGCGCGTGGGCCGAGGGCACGCGGCCACAGGCCACAGTGCGTCGCCCTGTTCTATCGCGCGCGTGGCC